AGGTTCCCGTTTTTTCAAAAAGACAAGGAGAAGCCCGCGCTGAGGGGGTCTTTACAAAAGTGGGCGGAACAGTTCTGGGTCCCCCCCATGCACTTTTAACCCCATCCCTGCTCATAGGGGGGGGGGGGTCTGACCCCCCCACCAGAAGAGCGCTCTTTTTGGGGGGGGGGGTCCCGACCCCCCCAGCAGCAGAGCGCTGCTGCTGGGGGGGGGTCCCGACCCCCCCAGCAGCAGAGCGCACTGGACCCAGCTCCCGCCTCCCGCCGCCCCCCCTCCCGCCCCCTCGGCTCGTGTTTGAGCGGTACGCTCGAGGCGGTTGTGTTCACCGCGCCTTCGAGCCCAATACACCTTCGTGCTGCCGAGTGCTGGCGTTTTACTAAAGACTTGTGACCATCTGAGTCTATCTTGTACTATACCACACGCATAGCTCAAGGTCATAGGGTATAGTGAGCCACTCACTCGGGCGTCTCGCTGACGTTGATCGATTAGCGCTGATCTTCCTAGCCTATCGGCCACCCGCTCGATCCTCGGATCGCTCGCTCGTCGCAAATCGACTGCGCTGGTCCAATCCGCGCGCGAAGCCACTATGATTATTGGAAGCGCTCCTCCAGCAGCAGAGATGGGTGTCTTCCGACAAATCAAGCAGCCCGACCGCCGTGGAGCGTGATCATAGCGAGAGGCCAACTCCGCGAGGTTGAGCGCTGCGCGGTACTCGGCGGTGTCGCAGCGTCGAGCAACACTCGGTGTCAGAGCGTCGCGCCTACATCAGTAGTCTCATCACCGAGTGATTGCTGGCCTGTGGCGTATGACCTCGCGCGGATATCACCAACGACGAGCATGCGAAGACATTGAGCACTGTCTGATGGACTTGTACAGCCCGCTGTGCTCTCCGCTGTGTCACGGCGTATGATGGGCTGCGAGAGCCGTATCTTCCCTCCTTGAAGCAGAGGCGCCGCGAGGCACGAGAGGCGTAGAAGAGAGGCTGGCGTGCCCCGCACAGCCCGGTTGGCAGTAGGAGGCCCCGCCGGTGAGACCACTGATTTTGATGCCGACCATAAATTCTCGCAACTCGAACGCAAGCTACTTACAGCTGCTGTCTGTACAGAGATGCCAGCACCCCCCAGCAGCAGAGCGCTGCTGCTGGGGGGGGGGTCCCGACCCCCCCAGCAGCAGAGCGCTCCTGCTGGGGGGGGGGTCCCGACCCCCCCAGCAGCAGAGCGCTCCTGCTGGGGGGGGGGTCGGCCATGGGCTTAGGTGTGCGGGGGGGGTACCGAGCAGTGTGCGGCCGCTCCAACGAGGGGTACAAGGTCGACCTCCCGGAACCCCACGCTGGCCCGGGAGGATGCGATGAGGTGAATGAAGTCAAGCGGGCAGCCCGGCCAACCCTTCGACCACAAGAACGGCCACGGCTACGTCAAGGCGCATCGCGGTTTCTACCACGACGCGATCTTTGTCAAGCGCAACAACTTCAACCTGGCTGCTCCACGAGACGTTCGGCGGCGGCTTCTCGCCCACCGCCGTTCTCAAGCTGCGCCGCCTCGCGCGTAAAGTCGCGCGCGGCAGCGTCGACCGCACGGCCTACTCGCCCAAGTACTCGCTCTCTTTTATGTCCCACCATGCAGAGGCCAGAGCGCATCTCTCTCTCTGTTGTGCGAGGCGTGAACCGCGCCATTCGCTCTCACCTGGCAACCCTGTCTGCACGTCTCGCGCGCGCGTGAACAGGGCCTGCCCCCCCCCCCCCCCCCCCGCAAACTTTAAACCACCATAAACATCATTGTGCAGGGGCTCCAGGCCCCAAATGACGTGTGAGTGTTAGAGTTGTTTGGTATTGGTATTGCTAAAAATCTCTCGAACTGTGTCGGTGTGTAAGAGGTGTGAAAATAAGCTTGGTTCACGAACTAGTTCAGTGGTTCACCCTCGAACCGGACCGTGAACTCTGAACCGTGAACCCGAACCGAGGCAGGACAAAAGGGCGAACCGCGAACCGTGAACGAACCAGGCGGGGCAGCGTCGAGCTGAACCGTGAACCGTGAACCGACTAGCACCCGCCCCGAGTCCGTGAACCACGAACCGTGAACTAACCGTGAACCGCGAACTAGTTCATGAACCGGGTTCACGGTTCACCTCGTGAACTGAGAGGCCTGGTGGTGAGGGAACAGCGGAACACCCGAGCCCGAGCGAGATGCTGGGGCGAGCCTCGGCGAGACAGCGTTAGCTGTTTACACAGCAGTTTGCTCACGCCAACAAAATTTCTTCCCGGCACATGTACGACAGCCTTTACAAGGGCGCCGTCCTCTGGGGTCCCCCCCGGGGGGGTGCACGGCGCCCTGAGCGCAAGCCCCCCCGGACACCTGGCAACAACTGCTGCTCCGCAGCAACCACTTGCTCCTCCCGCAGCACCCGCGGTTCCCGCAGCAACCATCTTCACCGGGTCCGCACTGGCTCGTGGTCACGGCGTGAGCGAGGAGGAGCACACGGAGATGCTTCTGCGCGGCGACGGCGCCGGCGGCTCCGACGCCGCCTCTGCCAGCTCGTCTGAATCCTCCGTTCGGCCCGATGGCGTGACGTATCCGGGCGCGTCCGCCGCCGCCGGCGCGTTCCGAACGTACCCGCTCAATCGGCGAACGCTCCCGCCCGGCATCCCGTACATCATCGTCAACGAGGGCGCGGAGCGGTTCTCCTACTACGGGATGAAGGCGATCCTGGTCATCTTCTTCACGCATGACTTAGGGATGAGTGACGCGCTCGCGCGCGAGTACTACCACGCCTTCACCGCCGCGTGCTACTTCTTCCCTCTCTGCGGCGCGCTGCTCGCCGAGACGGTCCTCGGAAAGTACCGCACAATCATGCGCGGGCAGTAGAGGGGAGGCGAGGCGGGCCTTGGGAGAGCGGCAGTGGAGGAGAGCGGCAGTGGAGGAGAGAGCAAGGAGGAGGAGGGAAGGGCGAGAAGCCAGCACCAGAGCAGCAGCCGAGGCGTGGGACCGCCGACTCGCCCTCTGCAGGTACTTTTCGTACGCCTACTGCGGAGGCCACCTCGCCCTCTCCCTCAGCCAGGCACACCACGCGCCGTCGGCCGGGGCGAGTGCGGCAGCGGCGGCGGCGGCGGCGGCACCTTCGTCGCCTCAGATGCCGTTCCTGTTTGGGCTGGGGCTGCTGCTCATCGCTGTCGGCGCGGGAGGCGTCGACCGGCGATCTCCGCGGTGCTCTCACAGACCCTTCCCTGCACCGTCTCGGAGCCATTCCTGCAGGCATCAAGCCGTGCGTCTCCGCGGTGCTCGGCGACCAGTTCTGCGCCGCCAACCAGCCGCTGCTCGCCCCGACCTTCGCCGCCTTCTACCTCGCCATCAACGCAGGCGCCTCCCTCTGCACGGGCACGCCCCGCGGGGAGCATTGCTCGTGAACCAATGATCGAGCGGTAGGCGCCTTCCTCTCCACCCTCGCCACGCCCGCCCTGCTGGAGCACGCGGGGCCGCACGTCGCCTTCGGGGTGCCCGGCTTGCTTATGGCCGCCTCCACGCTCGCGATGTGGCTCGGCCGCACCTCCTACGCGCACATCCCTCCCGCGGGCACGCCATATCTCCCCATATCTCCCCATATCTCCCCATATCTCCCCATATCCCCCCACATCTCCCCATATCTCCCCATATCTCCCCATATCTCCCCATATCTCCCCAATCACCTCCACATCCCTCCCGCGGGCACGCCACGCCCCTCGGGGGCTGCGGGCGGCGGGCGGTGGGAGGGTGAGAGCGGGTCGGGGACGCCTCTAGGCGCCGGCTTCGTGCGCGAGGCGTGCGGCGCGACGGGGCGGGCGGCGCTCGCCAAGCTCCTCCCCCTCTTCGCCTTCTTCTCCGCCTTTTGGAGCCTGTACGACCAGACGGGCAGCGCGTGGGTGCTGCAGGCGAGCGGCTTTTGACTCCCTCGCCGCCTCCCTCGCCGCCTCCCTCGCCGCCTCCCTCGCCGCTTCCGCTCTCCCTCCACCTCCCTCGCCGCCACTTCCCTCCCCGCCTCCTCCCTCCCGCCACCTCCCTCCCCCCCCCGCCGCTCCCAGGCCGAGAAGATGAACCGCTCCTTCCTCGGCGTACAGTGGCTGCCGTCGCAAGTCGCTTGCGTCAACCCTCTGCTCATCCTCCTCCTCGTCCCCGCGTTCAACGGCTTTGTGCTGCCGCAGGGCGGACGCCGCGTGCCCGGCTTGTATGACCTCGCGGGCAGCGTCGTGCGCGTGACGCCGCTGCGCAAGATCTCGGCCGGCCTCTTCCTCCTCGCCGCCTCCTTCCTGCTGCCGCTCCACGTCGAGACGCGCATCGCTGCCGGCGAGCCGCCGCCCTCCGCCGCCCCGCCCCCGACGCGCCCCACGACCCGCGCGACACGACCCCCGCGTAGGCGAGGCGCCGAGCATCGGGCTGCAGCTGCTCGCGTACCTCGTCCTCACCTCGGCCGAGGTGCTCGTCTCGGTGACCGGCCTCGAGTTCGCTTACACGCAGGCGCCCACCAAGATGAAGTCGGCGGTGATGGCCCTCTTCCTCGCCTCGACCGCACTGGGCAACCTCTTCACCGCCCTCGTCAACTTGCTCATCACCAACGCCGACGGCTCCACCGCCACGTCCGACGTCGCCTACTTTTGCTTCTTCGTGGCTCTCATGTTTGTGGTCGCCGTTGCCTTTGTGCCGTTCGCCTACACCTTTCGAGAGCAGACCTTCGTGCAGGGCGGCGAGGACGACCCGCGGCCGCACGAGGTCGAGACGGCGGCGGCGGTCGGCCAGCCGCAGCAGCAGTGGCGCGCGGGCGGCGCGCCGTGCAGCAGAGGAGTGAAGCATGTGGACTCAGTGTCCAGTTGACACATGACACATAATCGGCACTTTTGAGTTTCCTTGGCGCCCTTGGGTGAACGAGAGAACCGTGGATCCGTGAGCTCTGAGACTTCTCGGCCCGCGCCCCGCCGCGCGGGGCACATACACAAAATTGTCTCGTAACTTTATGTCATATGTGATATATGTGGTCAGTTGTTGTTGTTTCCTTCATGTCTGGCACACTGGCCGCGCAGACCGCAGTTGCGCGCAGAGTTCCAGCGATCAGCGTGGGATAATGTGGATGTGTGCGTGCGGCACCGACTGTCCCGCGCCGCGCCCGTCCTGCACTCCAAAGAGGGCCGCTCCGGCGCCGTGCACGCCGCAGACCAGCGCGTGTACCTCCCTCGCGCTGCGCCACAGGTCGGCGAGCTCGTCGGCGTTGAGCTGCGCCAGCGTGGCCACCACTCTCCGAGGGATGACCAGCACGTGACCCGGCGAGAGCGGCTTGAGGTTGACGACCGCCAGGGAGAGGCCCGCCTTCGGGGAGGGGGTAGGGGAGAGGGGGGGGGGGGGGGGTCTGCGCCTCGACTCAACCTCGACCCAATCTCGTCACGATCCTCCCGGCCCGGTCTCCCGGCCCGGTCTCGCCTCAGAGCGGTAAAAGACTTGCGTCGGCGCGAGCTCGAAGCGGCCAAAGAGGACGGGCGCGGGGAGGGGCGGCCCCCTCTCGCCGCGGACGTAGACGTACCGCGCCGCCTCGGCCGCCATCTCGGCCTCGCTCCTCGGCGCCCGCGCCTGCGCCGCGAGCGAGCCTCGCTCGGGGCCAGAGGGCTCCAGAGGGCGCAAGAGGGCTCTCTGCCCAGAGGGCTCTGTGCTCTCAGCGGCGCCGGATGCGAGGCAGAGATGTGGCCTCTCTCTGGCCGCTCCCTCCCCCCTTTCCCTACCCGCCCGCCCCGCCGCGCCGCGCCTCGTCGGGCGGAAGCACCATCGGAGGCACCACGTTCGGCTCGCCGGCCGGGGACCAGCGGTCGATCCGCCCGTAGACCTCGTCGTTGACCGCCAGGTCTCCGGCCGTGCGCGGGACGACGTGCAGGTGGAGGTGGGGGACCGGCTGGCCGGCGCCCTTGCCGTCCTTGAGCGCCAGGTTGAAGGCCGTCGCGTTCAGGTGCGAGCCCACCTGCCGCTGCACCGAGAGCGCCAGCCGGACGATGGCCTGCAGCTCATCGTCCTGCAGCTGGGCAAAGCGCTCGACGCGGCGCGTCGGCGCCACAATCGTGTGGCCTGGGAGCACCGGCCGCAGCCCGCCGTAGGCCACAGCGAGGCCGCAGGGCGAGGTGGAGACGACGTGATCTGCGTTCAGCGTGAGGCCAGCAAACTCTCGCGGAGACCCCAGCGCCATCGCGCAAGCCTGGCGCCGCGCGCGATTGATGCGACGCGCGCTGACGGCGACGAGGCCCACGAGCGCCATCAGAGCGAGCGTGAGCGCGCGTCGGAGCATTTAGCGCAGGCGGCGGTGAACGACAAAAAGGCTGGTCTCTTTTTCTTTCTTTACACGCCGTCGCCCGACTCTCCGCCCGCCAAGCGGGCCGCCTCCGCTGACTCGTCCGGCTATGAAACCGATACGCCGGACGAGGTGCAGCAGGAGGCGGTCCGAGGGAGCAGTTCGAGGCGGCGATGGCGGCGGGCGAGCTGCTCGAGATGCTCGAGAGCTTGCCGCGAGGGGCGGTCGAGGCCTCCGTTCGGCTGATGCGCGGTTACAACCGCACGGGCGAGTGGCCAGAGCCCATCCTCACCAGCCCTGCCCCCGCAGCGCGGCCGCTCGCCAAGCCCCGTCGATGAGTGGTCAGATGGTTAGTGCCCGAGAGCGAGGGGTCCGGGGGGGAGCACAAACATAGGACGCCCAGCCTTGCCCCCGTGCCGCCGAGTGCATATCCTATGCGAGAGAGATCCCCTGTGCCCTGTGCCCAGCCCTCTCCGCGCGGCGATGCGCCCTCCCCCCTGCCCCTCGCTTTTGCAAAATCCTGCAAAGGTGGGGACCCTGTCTGTCCTCGTCGTCGTCGTGTCAACCCTCGTTTGGTGCTCTAACCCTCGTTTGGTGGCTCCCTCGCACGACACTGGGCGCGGGACTGGCGCGCACTGGCACTAACAGGTACCCACGGGAGCCGCCGAAAAAGAAATAACTCAGCACCAGCGGAAGCGCCACCACAACAAGGTGAAGCGGCCGTGCGGTGGTGACTGCCGAACCTTATCTGTCCAAGAACCATGCGCAGCCTGGTCAAGCTCCAGTACATGCTCGCAGGAGTCGCCGCGGCGAGGGAGTGCGGCGTGGCCACTTACACGGCGGAGCAGGTGATTCCGTCGACCGCGATTATGGATGGGCTGACACCGCCAGTCGTGGTCGGTGACGCGTCCAACCTGCTCTCCCCGCCCGTGCTCGACCTAGGCGGTGTGTGGTGGATTCGATACCAGCCCCTCGACGACTCCGAGCGCGGAGATCTTTCCTGGGAGAACCCGGCGGTCAAGCTGTACGCACACGGGGCATTCGAGGAGCTCATGACCTTTGCCGACGCATCGAGCAACTCTTCGACACTGCCAGCTGAGATCGGCCTCGCATACAATCGGATGCATCACTGGGCCTACACCGACACCTTTAACTCGTACGCTGGGCGCATCTTTAACGCCGCCGATGAGGTGGACACGCCGATCCACATGACCTTTGGCAACGCAACGCACGGCATGCTGAGGGCGACCAGCCCTGACGACCAGTGGCTCATCACAAAGCTCGACAAGGACCGCTGGCGGAGGGACACCGTGTTTGCCGCGGATGGACCGGTTGGAGGCGCACGCGTGAGCTACATCCTGACGCGCGTCGTGAGAGAGGATGGCTCGCCCCACCCGACCTACTTTGAGGCCTTCACGTCGTACATGGGAGCGCGGCAGCTGCGGGTCCACGCCACCGATAACGTGTGCCTGCGGCGTTGCGGCGCCTGGGCACCAGAGCTCACGTGCCAGGTGCCGCAGCTCTGCGACATGTGGTGCGAGCTCTCGGGCACCTGGTGTGCTTGACAGAACAGCGCAGCCTCCACGACACGCAGCATCCAGCAACAAGTGTCTGCGCGCTCTCTCTGCCAGGCGACGACTCCGATAGGCACACAGCGGGAGAGAGGATAGCATCCATGTATTGCATATACCGGTGTCATGACAAGTGATGAGCATTCTTTGTTCATATCGTAACGGTATTGCTGGTTTGCTACGGGCTACGCGTCATTACGGCGCGGTCTGTGGGACGGGAAAAGGCTACGCTAGGGAAAAGGACAGGGTTTTCGCACCTTGTCGCTTGTGCAGAGCAAGACTGCAAGATCAGAGAGAGAGAGCTTTTTGTGTTTTGTTTTGCAAGATCAGGGTACAGGAAGGGCAACGTCGACGGGATCGGGAACGCGCGCGGGGCGCCGTGTTGCGTGTTGGCAGAGTGAGAGGAACGCACACACCTGGCTCCAACGTGGACACACGCCCATAGCTGGGGATACTACTAGGGTAATGCACCAACCACAAAGCCTCTCATAAGGAGGCGGCGGCGATGGTGGCGGTGGAGATGGCGATGGCGGCGGCGGTGAGGGACAAGGAGGCGGCGGCGATGGTGGCGGTGGAGATGGCGATGGTGGCGGTGGCGACGGGCCAGGTGGCAGCGGTAACGGCGACGGTGGTGGTAGAGACGGTGACGGCGGTGAGGGTGAGGGCGGTGATAAGGGCGGTGATGACGGAGGCGGCGGTGGCGGCGGTGGCGACGATGGCAGCGGTGAAGGTGGTTGTGAAGGGGGCGACAAGGGCGGTGCTAGGGGTGGCTGATAAGGCGGCCGTGCGGGCGGCGGCGACAGCGGTGGAGGCGATGGTGGCGGCGACGGTGGCATCAACGGTGGCGGTGCCGGCGGAAGTGTTGGCGGCGGCAGCGGCGGAGTTGACGGCGGTGGGGTCAGCGGTGGGGGCAGCGGTGGGGGTTGCGGTGGGGGTAGTGGCGGATGCGATGGCGGAACTGAGGGCGGTGATGAGGGTGGTGACGAGGGCGGGCTAGGAGGCGGTGGCTTCGAAGGTGACGGCACGTTAGGAGGTGCCCATGGAGGGGAGGGCGAAGGTGGCCAGAGAGGCGGAGGTTGCGTAGGTACGGGCGGAGGTCGGAGAGGCGGCTGTGGAGGTGGCGGTCCCAAGGGCGGGTGCCGTTCCACGCACGGTATGCCGAGCGTCGTAATGGCGTAGTGAGAGAAGCAGAAGCCTCGGTGTTGGAGCACGCGATAGGAGGAGCGCCCTGCGAATAAGAAGTCGATCTGTGATGCACTCGTCAGCATGAAGCTCGCAATCGCCCTCTTCGCAGCTTCTGAGCCGGGGTTGATCGCGCTGATTGGACTGGGGACGTTCAGTGATGCAACCGAGATGGCGTACTGCGCCTCGCGAATGCCTTCTTCAGAATAGATTGGTAATGTGCCAGGCTCGAGCGTAGAGTCAGGCGCGACGACCATATCGTCGCTGTTTGCCACCGCGACAAGCTCGAAAAGGGCGCCGCTCCCCGCAGGGTTAGACTGCTCGCCGTCCACATCTACAAGCGCGACGGATACGGAAAGCGAATGGTGAACTAGAGGGCTGCAGGCAGTGTATCACCGCGAGGCGCAAGCGTTCTAAGGAGGCCATCACTTTTTCGGGACGAGGCACAATTTGAAGACGGGCCTCACGCGACTTACCGCAGCTACTCGGGTGGTGCTTCCTGACCCGAATGATCGATCAGAAATTGATTAAGCGCGTGTGGATCAGTCATGCGTGAAGAGTAGCCGACGCGAGGGGTGGGGTGGGCTTGACATGAGAAGCTCGGGCAGCCCTACGTAAAAGGCTACGGTGTCTGCCTCAGCGTGTGTGCGGCCGAAACTCAGTGATGTGAAGGATGGTACTCACCGTAAAAGGTGGCAAAGACTTCATCAAAGGATGGCATCAGCTGATTGGTGCCGCTGCGCACGAATGCCATACTGAACGCTGTCCCTTTCATCCGGGTGAGATCGCCCGCCGGGCAAGATGCCGTCAGTGTATCCACCTGGTTTTCGGAGTCGGTGCAAGTGGAAGGCAAGACTCCCGCATAGAGGCATGCCATGCCGTTCACCGTCGTCGTTGCATGCACAGAATAGTACGTGGGGTCCTCGTAACTGACGTCGACCTGAAGAAACTCGGCTGGCTTCACCGTAATAAGCGTGTCGAAATATTGCCCATTGACATGTCCTGTACGCTTGAAACGCGCGCTCCCTCCAGGGAAGTTGAATGGACGCGTAGTGGAAGGCCCCTCTCCCACCACCGGCCCCTCAGTCATCTCCAACTCGACGCCGTAGTACGAAATGTTTACCCAGTGCTTGACGCTACAGTAGCCTCCAGTGGCAGAATTCGCCGATGAAACGAACGTGGAGAAGAGGCAAACCAAGGACGCCCTCATCATATCGTTTTAGCCCGCCGGAAAACGGCGGCGGGCGGCGCCCGTTTGCTCATAAAGTTTACCTGGTAGTTGACTTTATCGATACCGAATGAGCCATTCTTCGCTCAACTTTCAGGTGACATGTCGATCAAGCTTCGACACGAGGCGTCGCAGCTTCCCGCGCAATGCGTCCAATGCCGGCGATGTGGCTATCGCAAGTGGGGACTACCTCCAGGAGTCGAGTACTTGTATAACCGTTCGTGCCTGACCGCGCGGATGTTCGTTGACCACTCGCTCTTGCCAGTGACTCATGTTGCGGTCCGTGGAGTAGAGGTGGGTACATGGTTCTACATTGCCCCAGGTTGCTCTGACCTCGCATGGGAGGTTGGAAAGAGTCTGGTCGCCACTAATCGGATTCACCTGACATTCCTGCTCGAGCAGCAACGGCGGCAGCCTATCGTTGGTGCTGACCAGGCTGGTGCTGACATGTTGGCAGCAACTCGAATCAGTGTGCTCCTGATGCGTTACCACCGCTGGTGGGCTCAAGAGGTGATGCGAAGAGTGCACTTTACTCGGCACGTGAACGTCGCTCATTACTATCAGGAACTCGATTCGAGTGGCCGACGGAATCGGAGCCTCGTGACGCTGCCTCAGGTGCTGCATGATGCGAGCCGAGGAATGTTCGGCACGGATCTTAGCACTAGGTGTAGCTTACTCGCCCCGATAGATTCGGCCATGGTTTGCAATGCATCGTGCGCACGGCGTGCAAGGGCGCTGTCTTACGTGCTCAACCGTGATGACCAAGCCTTGGACCCGCTCAACCATGTACTCCTCGAGCGGGCACGGCTGCATGGCATCGCCTGGGACACCATCATTCTCATGCAAGGTGGATTCACCTCGCTCCGTGGCACAGCCGAGCTGTGGGACGTCCGTTACCTCTGGCTCAAGTCGAAAGCTCAGCCACTCCCGCCCAGTAAGATGGCAGTGTACTATAGTTGGGTGAACGGCAGCCGCTGTGAGCCATCACCAGATTTTAATAAGTGCATGGCCTGCCGAGGCTCGGCAATGGCGAGTGCTTGTGTCAATGTCAACACAAGCTTCAAGTTGTAAAACTAATGTACGACGTATCGCGCCCGCCGGTATCTTCTTGCGCATGAGCTCGTGCGACCGCAGCCGCGCCTTTTCCTGTCAGCCTCGCGCGCGCAGCGACGCCTTCAGGCCCGCAAGCAACAGCCCCACCGTCGCCATGGCCGCTCCCGTGCGCCTTCTTGTGCACCTTGCCCCTCCCTCGCACTGTCTCTCTGAAACTCTATCCAGGATCTCCCTCTTCTCGTTCTTCTCCCTCTCTCTCGTCCGGCGCACAGGTAGCGCACAGGTGGCGCACCGTGGCGCACCCGTCTCTCCCCCCTTACTAACCACGTAGTAGGAGCTATGAAACAAACAACCATTTGGTGGATGTGGTGCGGTGACCGGTGTCCGGCGAAGACTGTTGTGAGCCAATTCGTCTTTGCTTTTCTAGCATCTAGGTAAGGCGTGGGACCTTACCCCAAAGTTACTTCCTGGGGGGGAGGGGGGTTCGGCGCGCGACCCGGGAATTCATACAGAAAAAATCACCGAATTAGGGGGTCAGCTCGGTTTCCATTTTCGACCTTCGGCATCCGGCGATGTCCGGGTCGCGACGTGGCAGGTGCGGTCGGCTCGGTCGCGCTCGCAGAGCCACCGGCGGAGGCGTCGCGTGGTCATGTGACACACTGCAGTAAGAATGGTAACTTGTCTACTTACCGAGCCCCATTTTGAGTTATACACTGCCACACCTTGCCAAGCCATCCATCCACACTACTAAGCCATCTAGTCAGCATCGTCTAGTGGATCATCGGGGGCGCGAAGATGAACCTCCAATGAGGCACGCCACCTCTTTGCGCGTCTTCTGACTCAAGCCCTCGTGCCCCATTCAGCCGGCAACGCCCAGGTGTCTCGCAAAAGAAACCGCTCTCACACGCTCGTAGGCAGCGCTCCGCGGCTCTGGCAGCTGATCAAGCAGACGAGCTGCGCCTCGACATCCTCTCACCCTGCCTCAGGGCGATTTGAGAGGCCGGAACTCGCCCTCCTTTCCGCGCGATTCAGGCATGGGGACGCTGCTCGGCGACAGCGGTGTTGGCGTATTCAAGCGTGTTTGCAAACTCAAGCGTGTGGATGTTGGGGGCGGGAGAGTAGGTGGTCTCGCTCTCGCAGCGGGTGGAGCGGGCGGACGGGCGCTGGGAGAAGCACGTGAAACCAGCGCAGGGGACGAGGCACGAGGGTAACTCTGTTCGTGGTTCGCGCGCGGTTTTTCACGCCGTGTCGCGTGTGCCTCAGAATCGGTAGGAAAGGGGACATTTTGACAAAAAGAAACAAGGGACACCTCAGTCCTCACCGCTCTCAGCACGCGACGCCGTGGCATGCACATCCACATCCACATATGTTAACGTGGACCGATGATTCTTTCCTCCCTCACCCAGCCTCTGTGTGTGGGTGCCAGTCAGAGGGAGAGAAGGCGGCACGGCGGCGGCGGCGCGGCGCCAACCCATCCCCATCCGCCTCCGGGGGAGAGTTTCCCTAGCGCCTGCTCCGACAGACGCTCCGAACATATGCTCGAGAGTACCAGGGAGGGGAGGGGAGCAGAGCACGGGAGGGGAGAGGAGAAGAGCTGGCGTCAGCACTCGCACCTGACTCGCACACGCTGCGCTCCTCCCGCCGTTACCGCCACCGCGAGCGGGGGGGCGACGCGAGCAAGCGTGGAGCGAGGGCGAGGACCGAGAACAGGGCTTGCATCGATGTGCAAACGATTACAAGCTCTCACTGTGGTCCCGCCTCCCACACCTCGATCTTCTTGGGGAGCAGCTGGTTCGACAGGTCCTCTCCGTGGCCTAGGCAGCCGTGCTCGGCCTCTCCCCAGGCAAAGACAGCGCCGTCGGCGGTGACGGCGAGGCTATGCATGGATGCAGCCGACACAGTCACGACGCGCTGGTCAGCAAAGGCCTCGACCTTCTTGGGCAGTAGCTGGTTCTGCTGGTCGCCGTGGCCCAGCCTGCCAAAGGCTCCACAGCCCCAGCTCCAGACGGCACCGTCGGCGGTGATGACCAGGCTGTGTTCGCCTGCAGATGACACAGAGAGGACGCGCTGGCCAGCCAACGCCTCGATCTTTTTGGGCAGCAGCTGGTTCTGCTCGTCGCCGTGGCCCAGCTGGCCTCGGCATCCCCAGCCCCAGCTCCAGGCGCTGCCGTCGGCGGTGATGGCGAGGCTGTGCCCGCCTCCTGCCGACACAGCGACGACGCGCTGCTCCGCCAAGGCCTCGACCTTCTTCGGCAGCTGCTGATTCTGCTTGTCGCCGTGGCCCAGCTGGCCAATGCTTCCATAGCCCCAGCTCCAGACGGCGCCGTCGGCGGTGATGGCGAGGCTGTGGTCGCCTCCCGCCGACACAGCGAGGACACGCTGGCCAACGAAGGTCTCGACCTTCTTCGGCAGCAGCTGGTTCTGCGTGTCGCCGTGGCCCAGCTTGCTAAAAGCTCCATAGCCCCAGCTCCACACGGCGCCGTCGGCAGTGATTGCGAGGCTGTGGCCGCCCCCTGCCGAAATCGCGACGACGCGCTGGCCAGCGAAGGCCTCGACCTTCTTCGGCAGAAGCTCATCTTCCTCGTCGCCGTGGCCCAACAAGAGTCTTTCGCCCCAACTCCAGACAGCGCCGTCGGCGGTGAGAGCCAGGCTGTGCAAATCTCCAGCTGACACGCTCACCGCGCGCTCGTCGCCCAGCGTCGACGGGAGGCGGGTCGGCGTGCGGAGCTGTGTCACGCCCTCGCCGTGACCGAGGGCGGCCTGGAAGTCCTCTTCCGTCGAGCCACACGACGAGAGCCGCCCCTCGCCGTCGATGAAGACGCTGTACAGATCGCCTGCCGCCGCCCTCGCCGGCAGGTTGGACTCGCACAGCAGCGCCGAAACGCACAGCCACCGGACGGCGCAGCTCTCGCCCTCGGGCTGCGCCGGCAGCTCGTAGCCGGCCTCTTGCAGGCGCAAGCGGATGCCATCCTCTGCAAGCGAGGAGTGAAAGAGGAGCGAGACGGCCGCGACGCGAGCGATGTGGGCGGGGCTGCAGTGAGAGAGGGCGCGAACGAGGAGCTCCGTGGGGAGGTCGAGGAGGCGGGCGGGCGGCGGCGTGCTTGGCGAGGGGGCGGCGGTGGCGGCGGTCGCGAGGCGGCGCGAGCGGCGCGACGGGGCAAACATCGCGAGAAAAAGAATTATAGCCGCGACCACCGCCTCCGCCCCCACTGTTGGAGCGGCCGCTGGGTCGAGGGGTCGCCGCTGGGGCTCCACGCCAGGCGGTGCGGCCGCCGGTGCCGCCACCTCCGCCCCGCCGCTGGAACGACTGCAGGGTCGAGGAGCCCTGGTGTGGACGGTTCTTTCTTTTGCGGTATCTTGATGTATCTCTCCGTCGTTCCAACAGATGGCCGCCCGGCGCCCGTCCCGCGGCGCCTGCGCTTCCGTCCATATCTGACAGTATCCCGCCATATCCCGCCATATCCCGCCGTATCCCGCCGTATCCCGCCGTATCCTGCCCGCCTCACGCCGAGCAGCCCCGCCTCTCCGCGCTCCGGCCGCAGTGCGCAGAGCGCGACGGCAAAAAAGAAACTTAGACGCCGCGGCACACGAGCTGACACGCGAGCTGACACATGCACCCGCTAACACATGTCGCCCGCAGCACGCTCACGTGCGCCCTCACCATGGCACCTCAAATGCCCGACCCGGCGAGCCACTCGCGGAGCTCGGCGGATATCCACGTGTATCTCCTGGTATGCGGAATCGCTGGCCTCCGCCGGCATGCCTTCGCCGATTGTAGACGTGGTGAAGGAATCTGAGAACCGCGGGACAATCAGCGTAAGCGTGCCTCACGACTCGGACTTGTGGGAGTGCATGCAAAACTTCTTCTGCGATGGAGGTCCTGGCCCATCCATCGGGCACGTCGACGGCGAGTGGCGCGAGGAGCAATCTCGCACCCACGGTGCACGGTGGGTGGCCGACGTTTCATGGGACCACGACACACTCGGAGAGGTCGGCAGAGGACCACGAGGTCTGCACGAACTCGCGGCCTACTATGAGACGCTGCGGCGCCTCTCGCAGCTGCTCGCACGCGCGCCGTCCACGTACAAGTGGAACTCCACTGGCCAACTACCGTGGACAGAGCGTGGCTGGCGCGTGGTCGCCGATCCGCCGCTCTGCGTCCTCCCCGGTGCCGACGACGCCGTCGGTTATCATGCGACGGGGCGGCTTCGGATGGGCTTCCCAATATTCTTTGGAGGGCGGGACGACGTACCGGAGGAGGTGGGTGAGGGGGTGCTCGATGGCTCCACGCAACTGCTTCAGCATGCGCTCTTCGGTGTCCGCATCCCCGCCGCGCTGCGCACCGGACGCTGGAGGCTGAACGCTGATGATCTGACCTTCGATCTGAAGCGACAAAGCTGCGCGGGATCGTCAGATGACGAGACGGTGAATGACGAGTGCTGCAGCGTCAGTGGGTGGGTCGCGGAGATCGCTGAGCATGTGGCAGGCGAGTATGCCGCGGCGCACAGATGTGCTTGTGCGCTTCGATTTTGAGCTCGGTGACGACGGCGGCAGTTTTGGAACCGGCTGCCCTCCACCACGATCACAGAGATGCTTCGGCATCGCCCACGACAAATGTGGCGAGGCGTACATGGTGCTGGACGACGACGACAACGACGAGGTGTACGATGTGCAGCAGCTCTTATAGGAGATCCTGGGTGGCGAAGGTGGGGAGGAGGAAGGGGACGGCGAGGAGGAGGAGGAAGATGGCGATGACGTCATTGACGAGGGCTTGTGACATGAATGCAGAATGAATGGCCTGTCCCGGTGTGGCGTGGCTCCTGTGAGGGCTGAGCAAGTGAGCGGATTGGCGAGTCTCGCGTCATTACAGTTCAAGTGGTCAGGGGAGGGCTGGTGATTGTTCGCGGCGGCGGTTGTTGAAATTGAAACGATTCCTATAGGTCAACATACAACGCGCGGAACAGTCATAGCGCCATACGAGAACCAGGAACGACCCCCTACCTGCGGCTACCTCTCGAGTCTCGTGACTCGCACAACTTTGACTAAGTCTATAAAGAGGGCGGGGAGGTGGACGAGACTCGCCGTATGTGTCTGTAAAAGAGTTAGCGCAAAGATTTCGTCAGAGAGGGGGAAGGGAGGGCGGCACGCCGCCACCACGCAGGGATTTCATCCCTGGAGTAAGACTCGCAGCGAGTGTTTCTTCCAACGCGACAGTGGTGGCTTCTCTCAATGCCAGCCGACGCGACCAGCGGTCCGTCCATATTTGCGCTGCCTGGTCGGCTCGGCGACGTCGAAGCTCTGCCTCGCGCAGAGTGGCCCTCGGCAAGGCGCTTCCGTGAGTACTACGCGCCACCGTGCGGGTCCAGAGTGGACGCGGCTGCCGGCATTCCAGTGGTGCTGCTCGGAGCGGCAGCCGAGATGCCCGCATCCTCACGTTGGACCGACGAGGCGTTTGCTGCCCGAGACAGCCCATACGCCGTTACCCTGGACAACGTCGAACTGGCCAAGACTGAGACGCGCGCTGCGGGTGAGGCCAAGTCTGTGCCACTCGCCGCGTTTGTGCGCCACTACCGCGACGGAGCCGCGGCCTCCGAGAGCGATGGCGGCGGAGGCGGCGGCGAAAGTGGCGGCGGCGGAGGCGGAGGACGCGGAGGACGCAGAGGAGGAGGCGGAGAAGGAGGCCTCTCTCTCTATTGCGTCTCTTCGCTGCCGAGGCCGCTGCGGCACGACGTGTGGCTGCCGCCGCCGCTGGCCTGCGGCAGCGGGACGCAGCGGCTCGCGGAGGCGATCCTCTGGTTCTCTTCGGGCGGCGCGCAGCCTGTGGCGCACGCTGATGGCGACAGTTGATTAGCGACTGACTGTCCAATCATCCTCGTGGATAGGCACGCAGTCGGTGGTGCACGCTGACGGCGAGGACACCTCCGGTGCGTGTCTGGAGTAGTTGGCTGCTCATGATCCGAGAAGTGATGGACAGGCGAGGACAACTTCCTCTGCGTCTTTGACGGCTCCAAGCGGCTGGCGCTGTGGCACCCGCGGCACGGAGGCGCCATCGAGTCGGCCGAGCTGGGGTGGCACAACACCTCGCGCGGGGACGCGACCTACGGCGGGTTCGGCGGCCCGCCCCGCCTCAACGTCTCCTCCATCGACCTCGCCCGCTACCCGGGCTGGGCAGAGCTCGACTGGCTCGAAGCGGAGGCGCCTCGACCCTCGCCTTTGCGCACGCACCCGGCGGCACGCACGCATCCGGCTCTCCGCAGCGCCTCGCCCCCTCACAGACCTTGTTATTGAGAAGAAAATACGTCCTACGGCGCTGTGCGCTGTTCACACTGTCCGGCCTCGGCGCCGCCGCTAGGTGCGAGCCGGCGACTGCCTCTTCATCCCGCAAGGCTGGTACCACCAGGCGAGTGCAGAGAGACGGAGAGACAGAGAGAGCCTCGGAGGTGGCTGCTCACTCCACCCGACGGCCTGCGGCTGCAGGTTGACTCTCCGGCGGGACGCAACCTATTAATTGATAATGAATTAATAATGGATTAATAATCAATTAATAATCAATTAATAGGTTGACTCTCCGGCGGGACGCAACCTCGCAGTCAACCTGTGGTGGAACAGGGAGCCTTGCCGCCAGGGACGCGGCGGCGCGGCGGTGGAGGCGGAGGCGGAGGCGGAGGCGGGTGCATCCGCCAATGCGTCCGTGTGCGGCGGCGGCGACTCGAGCAGTTTTGTCTATTCCGTAGCCGACTGCTATTGGGGCCGCGATTGGACGGACGCCGACACGGCGCGGCCACATTGGGCGTACGGCTGCGAGCGCGGGCGGGCGGGCTCCTCTCCCCGGGAGGCTGCTGCTTCTCCTCCCTCCCCTCCTCCTCCTAGGGTGCGGTCGGTCTTGGCGGGGAGCGCGTTTGCCGGTGCGCTGCTCCCGCTCGCCGACCTGGAGGAGGCCGGCTGGCCCGCCGCCGCCACTCTCGGCGCTGTGCTAGCGCCGCTCGCGCTGCTGCTCTTGCGCAGACGCACCAGCCGAGCATCGGGGCGCAGCCCGAGCGAGGGGCTTCGTGCGGAGGCGAGTCGAGAGGGGCTTTGTGCGGAGGCGAGTCGACCGCAAGCTGCAGAGGGCGCGGCGGGGAGCGCCGGTGCCAGCTGCGGAGCCGAGGCGGGAGGAGGCTCGCCAGCAGCGTGCAGCAGCAAGGCTGGGTTGGCGGCAGAGAAGGCGGCAGAGGAGGCAGAGGGGGCGGCAGAGGGGGCGGCAGCGAGGGCGACCTTGCTCGGCCGTGGCCGCCGCAGTCTCACACGGCTGCTGTCGGCGGCGCTGGGAGTCGGCGCGCAGCTGTTGCGGCCGAGACGGATTGAGCACGCCCGAGACGCTGGATCGTCTCTTCACAGGCGTCGGGTTTGCTCTCGGCGGCGGTGGTCCGGCCGAGCTGATGCTCTCCGCTGACGTCCTCTCCCGGTGGCGCCGCGGGGGCAGCCCTGCCCCTCCGCCGCTGTCTGGCCCTGTCGCCTCCGTCTTGCGCGACAGCGCCGCGTCAGGTGGGACACTTCCTAGACACTCCCTAGACACTCCCTAGACACTTCCTAGACACTCCCTAGACACTTCCTAGACACTCCCTAGACACTCCCTAGACACTTCCTAGACACTCCCTAGACACTCCCTAGACACTCCCTAGACACGCGTCAGGTGGGACACTCCCAAGGCTCAGTGGGGCCGTCCCAGCAGCCGCTCGCTCCGCTTGAGTCGTCTTTCCCGCCCTCCTCCCCGCCGCAGGCACCGCGCTGCAGCTGTGGGCGCAGCTCGAGGCCGCCATGCCCGCGCGGCTGTACACCAAGCTGCGGTACGCCAAGCTGCGCGGCGGGCTGCACGCCCACGCGCCACCGCCCGTTTGCGACGGTGCTGCCGGCGGCGGCAAGGCCCATTGGCGCCAGCTCAACGGCTCGTGGAGACGAGCGGACGGGACCTTGTGCGTTGCGGTTGCGTCACCGCCCGCCAGCATTGGGGCGGAGGCTGGAGGGGAGGCGGCCGGGGCGGGGTCGGCCGACGGCATCGGGGCGGCGGGAGAGGAGGAGGAGGAGGAGGGGGGGGGGGAGGAGGAGGAGGAGGAGAGCATGCGGATTCGGGGTTTCGAGGCGCTCACCACCATGGATGCACTGCTCCGCAACGCCGACACGGTCGCCAACCGAGAGCTGGTGCTGCGTGGCCTCTGGGCGGTGGCGGCGGCAACGTCGCTCGTGAGCACGGCCGAGCTGATTGGCGCGATGGTCGACGCTGGAGACGCGCACCCTTCGCTGAGGAGCGAGCTGCTGCGACTCGGCCTGCCGTGGGCCTCGCAGCAGGCCGACTCGCTGCGGCGCAAGGAGAGCAACTCGAGGCTGGCCTCGCTCCTCTTAATTAATAACCATATCTCGCCTCTACCAATGATTAATTGTTAATAGGCTGGCCGAGCTCCTCCTCCACGAGCCGTGGGGCGACGACCTCTCTGCGCCACGCGCGAGGCTCTCCCCTCCGCTCCTCGCGCTGCTCGGCCGCCACCGGATCGCGCCCGGGCTCGACTCGCCCGTTCGCCTGCTCGCGCCGCCAAGCACGCTCTCGCCCGTCGCACGCCTCTTCCTAGACGCCTCGCGCCGGCCGCTGCGCAGAGGCCGCGCCGCCACTCTGCCACAGCGAGGGTGGCTCGCTCTGGCGGGCTTATGGGCGCGCGTTGCGTCGGGCTGGGCAAGGTCGCCAGCAGCAACGCGCGATGAGCCGCCGGTCGAGCCGGCCCTCTCGCTAGAGACGCGCGAGCTGTTTGGGAGCCCTGTCGGCCTGGCGGAGGTGAGGGACGCGTCGCTGCTGCTTGACCTTCGCCGCCTCGCCGCGGCGCTGCACGAGCGCGCCTCGCGCCAGCGCGCGAGCAAGTCCGACCCCCTCCCACACCTCTCCAACCCCCCTCCCAGCCCCCTTTCCCTCACCCGCCCACCCCTCACCCCCACTCGCCCCCGCCGCCTTTACCGCCACTGCTGCCCACTCGCACCCCCGCGGCTGCGCGGACAGGAAGCTCAACAACCTCACCAACGACGAGTTCTTCCAGGCGCAGATGCGGAACCAGCGCTCGATCGCGCGGCAGGTGCGCACGCCCCAACTCTGATCCCCTCCCTAACCCCTCACCCAGCCAGCTTGCCCCGTGTCCGGCAGCGTCCTGTGCGCGCCCTCGCCGCCCTCGCGCGCTCCTACTGCGAGGCACTGCTGCGCGAGGGGAGCCAGGCGGAGGGGGTGGCGGAGGGGGTGGCGCAGTCCGAGGTGGACGTGTGGGCGGCGGTGCTCACCGGAGGGGAGCGGCACGGCACGCACGTGCACGAGGGCAGCGGCTTCTCGCGCGTCCTCCACGAGCCACTCATTGACTCATCACGCATCGGTCCGGTCACTAGGCTCCATCTGCTCGGGCGTCCTCTACGTCGACGTCCCCCCCGGTCCCCGCCCCCCCCCCCCCCCCCGGCCCCGCCCGCCGGCGGCGCGCCGGCGCCGCGCCGCTCGCCGGCCGGGCTCGAGCGTCGAGGGCGGCAGGCATGTTGTGCGATGTCCAGCGCGGCCCAGCTCAGCGTTTCAGGCCTCAGGCTCAGCGCCGTTTTTCCAGGGGCAGGGCGGCGGCGGGAAGTGGGAAGAGCTATAGCACTCTAGTAGTATGTGCATCATCAGATCTGTCTTCAGCGGCATGTGACACGTAAATATGAAAAAAATATGACGGCAACCATGCGCGCGCCCCGGTCCCGGTCCGCGGTGGCGCGGTGCGCAGCGCAGGCCAGCAAGCAGCATGTGGCGCGCGGCTCAAAGCCGAGAGACAGACAGGCGTGAACAGGCTGCCTGCTACCGCTTGGCGAGGTTGTACCCCTCGTCGCCCGTGTCGATGCCCAGCTTGGCTCGCATCTCGGCGAGCTCCTTTTGCTCGCGCTCTGTGTCGAGCCGCTTCTGCATCTTGGTCTGCTGGTAGTAGAGCACGACCTGAGCGAGCCAAGTCCGGGGCACTCAGATCTAGGCGCCGCCACATGCGCAAGGACGCGCCGCCGCAGAGATGGGAAGGGGCGGCGGCGGCGGCGGCGGCAGCGCGAGGGGGCGCGGCCGGGGCGGCGGCGCGCACCAGGTAGCGGCCGCAGACGTTGAAGCCGGACAGGTGGTCGACGGCATTCTTCGCGTCGTAGATGTCCTCGTACACCACAAACGCGGTCCCGCGCGTGTCGGACGCGTTGCCGAGCCGAATCTGCCGGATCGCGCCGAACTTGCCGAAGATGTCGTACATCTCCTCCGCGGTGATCTTGAAGGGGAGGTTCCGCACGTATAGCGCGCGATTCACTTCCGGCGGAAGCCGCATGCTGGCCCGCGCCCGGACCGACGACATGACCCCCTCGCCTTTGACGCCGGCGAGCGGCGGCGCGGAATAAAAGGTTGGCTTCGCCCCTGGACCGGTCCCAAAGTAGGGCCTGCGCGCACGCCTCCAAGCAGCCCTGCAAAAAGAATTCTACCAGCGCAACACCGGGCAAAAAGAACAGCGCACCACACACCTCTCCTTAAAATCCCTGTGTGGTGGCGGCGTGCCGTCCTCCCATCCCTCCCTTGGGTTGTCTGTTTTCTTTCTTTCTTTCTTTAAGAACCCCCTCGCGGCGTCCTCCCATCCCTCCCTTGGATTTCTGCCAGGAACACTGAGAATTTGCTCGCAGCGCATCGCTCCCGACTTGATCGGGGCGCATCCGCGTGGACTGGTCGTGCGGGATGACGAACATGGTGACGAGGATGGCGATGATGGAGATGTGTGAGCCCCACCGCATGAAGGGCATCCTGGGGTTATTGAGCAGCCCTCCCAGCTCGACCTCGAGGGAGACGAGCACCATTGCCCGCGAAAGAGGTGCGCGCCGCCCGCCCAAAGCCCCAAAACACTCCCGAAGATTTTGACGACACCGCACTCAAGGAGGTGCCTGCCACAACTTCCCACGCGAACATAGGGCCCCGCGGTTTTCTCTTTTTCCGGCGAGCAGACCTCCGGTCCGGTTGAGGTTGTGGCGCGGGGCGGCAGCCGCCTGCGCGACCCACCCGCCGCTTCCTTCGCACGGCCGGCAAATATTGTTAGTTTACAGACCAGCGCTTTGTCGCAGCCGCTCGTTATCCATCTCTCCTAGTGAGTCCGTCAATCTCTCCAGCGGAAAAGAAGGTGTCAAGGTCCCACGAGTAGAGAGGCTGGGAGCCCGCGCTCCGCGTGGCGCACCAGACCTCAAGCCGCCTCGCCGAGCCGTTGAGCACCATGGTGGTGATGGTCGCCTCGGGCCGGTAGATCTTTGCATCGCTCAGAATCGCCTTCACGTCCTCCGCGGTGCGCGGCGGTGGCAGCCCGTCGGCGCGCGCCTGGCGCGGGTCGTTGGCAAACGCCGCAGGGCTGTCCACCGCCCGCCCCTTACGCGTGGTGAGGTGTTTGTACTGATTGAAGTGGGTGTAGTTCATCACGTCCTCGGTGACCTCGAGCACTGACGACTCGTCCTCCCAGAGCTCGACGTTGGCCATCCGCTTCCCTCTCACGTCCACCACATTCATCGATGCGCCCTCGCTCCAGCCGGGCACTGTCAGCGCGCGCACTGCCTCGTCGAGCGTCGAGGAGGAGCAGATCGCACGGCGCTGGACAAAGGCGCAGGCGAGCCCTCCTGCCCGAGACTTTCGCGGCACCATCGAATTTTGAGTCGAGTAGATCCCAAACTCGTTCCATGTCGGCGCCCAGCCCACCAAGGCCGCAGGGTAATTCACACCCGCACATGCACGGAAGCCGCCAGCTGCGACCGAGTCGGCGTATGTGAATGCGGCAAAGTACCAGAATGGCTTCACTGCACTGGACCAGTCGTCATTGTGGCCGTGGACGAATCCGCGGCTGTACCCACCCGCCTCGATTGCGTACACATCTGAGCAATGCTGGGGCGCTGCCTGGAAGCCCTGATGACCCATGAGCGAGCCGAGCTCATTCAGCAGATTTGCGCACCATATCTTATCCACGTCGAAGCCGCTCCCAGCGGCGATACCGCGCAGCTCCTCTGCGAAGGCTGGGAACTCGCGCATGTTATCCGCCTTCAGATTGGCCAGCGCCGCGCTCCCATTCGGACTAGCAGCAAACGCGAACACTTTCCGCATCTCTGCCGTCGCAAACCAGCCAGCAATGCGAGAGCGCGCGAGCCGCCCGTGCTGTAGACCTGCATCAAAGGGGCCATCGGCCGCTATCCGAAACAGAGGCGGGGTGGAAGCAGCGTCATAGGCCAGCAGCTCAACCATAGGTGGCGCGCCAACGACCACCGCAAGCAAAAGGCCTCCAACGACCGCGGCGATGAGAGCACATCGGCCGACCGTCGGCTCGCGCCAGTTGGTGCGGAGAAGGGGGGCTCGCAGGGTCGCGAGATCGGAGCGCAAGAGCATCCGATCGATGATATATCCCCGAAGCGCACGTCCACATTTAGATTTACTCTCTTTCGCGGTGCCATACCGACCGCACACTCTAAGTGCTTGAGCACTTGAGCACCGGATAGGGTCGATTCCGCTCCATAAAACTCCCTCGCACAACACGGGGCACGGGACTGGCTCCCGAAAGAAAGCACGGCGACAAAAAGTTACGTGAGCTGTGTGTGAGCGTGAGTGAGGGTCAGCCCGCAGCGCGCAGGCGCATTTTTTGCATGCACATACCGTGTACTAGAGAACACCCGCCCCCGTCTCCCTTTTCTTCGTGTACGGCTTAATACATGGAGAACATGCATGTTATCACCCTCTGTGTATGTATGTAGGAAGGTGAAGAACAGTCTCCGGTGTTTTCCTTTTTGTTTGCCGGAAATGCTTGTGCAGGCCAAACCTCGACACCTTCTTTTCCGCTGGAGATTGAGAGAGAGAGATTTTTATTAACCAACAAGAAATCACGACTCTCTTGAGATTGACGGACTCAGGAGAGATGGATAACGAGCGGCTGCGACAGAGCGCTGGTCTGTAAACTAACAAATCATTTGGGGCCGTGCGAAGGAAGCGGCGGGTGGGTCGCGCAGGCTGCCGCCCCGCGCCACAACCTCAACCGGACGGACCGGAGGTCTGCTCGCCAGAAAAAGAAAACCGCGGAGGCCCTATGTTCGCGTGGGAAGTTGTGGCAGGCACCTCCTTGAGTGAGTGCGGTGTCGTCAAAATCTTCGGGAGTGTTTTGGGGCTTTGGGCGGGCGGCGCGCACCTCTTTCGCGGGCAATGGTGCTCGTCTCCCTCGAGCTGGGAGGGCTGCTCAATAACCCCAGGATGCCCTTCATGCGGTGGGGCTCACACATCTCCATCATCGCCATCCTCGTCACCATGTTCGTCATCCCGCACGACCAGTCCACGCGGATGCGCCCCGATCAAGTCGGGAGCGATGCGCTGCAGCTGGGCTGGCACACGATGCGGCCGCGGGGGCCCGCGGCGCCGACTCCCGTCGCGCCGCTGCCCGCGCCCGGCGCCCCCGGCCAGCCCGGCGCGCCGCGCGCCTCCCTCCACCACCAGGGGCGCGCGCGCGCGCGGCTTGCGAGGGGGCGCGCGCGCGAGCCGCTGGGGGTGCTCGCCTTCGTCGCGGAGGAAAGGCGGGCGCCGGCAAACTTGACGGCGCTGCTGCTGCACTCCAAGTGGAGGCACTCCCGCACCCTCGCTTCTCTGCGCCGCTCCTTCCGCGCCCCCTCTGCGCGCGGCACGAGCGCGCGCGGCGGCGCCGCGGCGGCGGGGGGCGGCGCGGGCGCGGTTGCGGTAGGGGGCACGAACGGGTCGTACGTCTTCACGACGGTGGAGGCGCTGCGGCGCCAGCACGGCCAGCGGCGTCACTGGTTCGGCGACCTGGACGCGCGCGAAACGCGGCGGCTGTATCACGAGCTGTTGCCGCGCCAGCTGCTGGACGGCGAGGAGAGCGTGTACGAGGAGCACGGCCTGCCGGTGGAGGAGCGGGCGAGGCTGGCGGTGGCGGCGCGGCGGGCGGCGCGCCTCTACGCACGCGAGCGGGCCCACCTCCCCGTCGCCCTCTCGTGCGAGATCGTGGACGGCGTGCGCACGCTGATGGCGCAGGGCTCTTTCCAGCCGGGCGGGCTAAGCGAGGAGCAAATCTTCGCCAAGTACGCCGCGAAGCTGGGCGAGGGGGGCGGCGACGTGGAGCAGGTCTACCGGATGATGCTGCTCAAGAGCTGCGCCTCCAACGCCCACGTCGACCGCCTCATGGGCGTGTAGTTCTTCTCTCGTGTCGGTCTGAGGTCTGTGTGGCAGTCTTTTGTCCCACTGGTCGAGCATGTGCCGCCCCTGCATAGCTGCGGAGGCCCTGTAGAGTGCCGTCATCGCCCGCATAGTTGCGGAGTGTGCGCCCCGTTCTCTCGTGTCGGTGAAATGAAAAATGAAATTTTGTCTTTTGAATAATTTTGGCCGGAGATGTCGATTCCGTGTGAGCACTTTGTGTGAGAGAGCACACTCTGGATATAGGCGGGTCGATTCCGCATGGTAAAGCCTCGATCGTCTCGCCCGCCGTCGTTCACTTCTTGTCAAAATGGTCCGAACTAACATTCGGAATCAGGAACTGTACGGCTTTGATGAAACGTTTTAACCCCCCGCCCGCTCCGCGCGCTCGCCCACGGCCACGCCCCCCACGCCCCAACCCCGCCCGCCCGCGGAGCCGCGGTGCAAGCCCAACGCGCGAGGGAAGGTTGCGCGCGCGGCAGCACGCTTGGCGAGGTGCGCGCCTCTGCCCTCAAGAATTGGGAGAGCGAGAGCTCAAGACAGGGAAGGGGGCGGGTGAGGATCAGCATCAGCCAGCTGGCCCCTCCCCGCCGACGACGCTCAGCCAGCCGGGAAGCAGGAACGAGGCGGGCGCGGCGTCGGCCTCCGCGGCGGTGGCGGCGGTGGCGAGGGGGGGCGATCCGTCGGCATAGTAGAGGAAGGGCAGCCGCAGCACAACTAGCGACCCGCGCGGCAAGAGCACCTGGTGCGAGTCGAGTCGAGGGCGGAGTCACGCGCCACGCGGGCAGGGGGGAAGGGCAGGGGGGAAGGGCAGGGGGGGGCAGGGCAGGGGGGGGGGCAGGGCGGGGGGGGG